ATTTGAAAAATTTCAACCACCGTAACTGCTCGTAAATATACGGATAATCGCATTTTGAGAAATCTCGTACGCGCGATACAACAGCGTTTTGTGCCGTTTTTCGTAACTAACGCGATCGCTTCTCGATAGTTTTCAGCTCCGCGCGGACACCTCGTTTTTGTGACATTTTTTTTGTTTTGTTTTCGCTTAATCCGGTGCACGTGTCGAGAAAACGACACCGTATTACACCGTACAGGCAATTGTTGATATGTATCGTCGTTTTTTTTTTAGCGTGGCTTATTGCTTAACGTACAGCTACGGCTTTTTGTAAATCTAGGGCCTTACATCTATTCTCTTACGCCTGTACCAGCGGCGCGCAAACTCGCTTTTGTGTCACCCATGGACAAATATTTCGGAAATATATCAGGACAAATCGCACACACACACAAGTATAATAACGATATAATTGAATAAACAAGCGGATTAAGATAAGATAAATAAAACTTTGTGACTTTTCCGCACTTAATTATATCTTTCTTCCCGAAAAAGTATACTGGCCCCAGTTCGCACTAAAATTTGATAGTCTCTTTTTTGTGGCTTCAATTTTTATCGTTATAAAAATAGATTGCAAGTGTGGCATTAGTAATAGCGAACTTAATACTACAACAATAAAACATACAATATTTCGATATATCGATATTCGAAACTGAATAAAAGAGATACATTGATGTGATTACAAGGAGATAATTCTGTATAAAATAACACGACTTTTGATTTTTTTTAACGCAACAACGTCTGTACATTTTCCCTTGTCAAGTAAAAGTGTAGAGAGTGCTTTATAGAATATCATATCTTAACTTAATTCTATTTATACGTTTCAAAAAAATAACAACAGTTGGTCTGTGTATACCGAGTTGAATGCGCATTAGTTTGTGCACCTCTGATTTAGCATTCTTCGCGCGAACAATATCAGATATCTTACCGAGTCCCAACAATTTGAAAGACAATTCGGCGTTCGAGAAGCTGTCATCTCGATAAAATATCTGATATTTCGTCGACAGAACGTCAATCGCGCCCGCCACATTGTTTCGCGATATAAAACGGAATCGCATAAGCGTTGAACAAATACATATATATATACATTATTCTCCCGCTGTTTGTTTTCGATCGGAGGAATTTCCTTGGAGGATCATTCGCGCGATACCTCCAAAGTATCGCACAGATGCTGCAATCTACGTGAAAGAGAAAATGGTAGCTGGTTGAAAGTCGAGGTTTCAATAATATTTACACACGGTTATAAGCGAGATTGAAGATTGAAAAATACTAGTACACAAGATCATTCAAATCCCATTAATTGAAAGTGAAGTATATCTGCTAATAATAAGTTCAGAGATTAAAAATCGTCAATTTTAATTTGAGTTAAACGCGCCAATTTTAGAGGACCGCTAAAAATGACTACAAAAATAAATATTGTCGCGCAACGAGAATAGATGTAAAAAAAAAAAAAAAAAAAAAAAAAAAAAAAAAAAATGGAGTTAAAACATTGAAACGAAAATCGAGATATATCCGGGAATCGAGCGGCAACTCTTGCCTGGGGACGATGCGCCAACGTTGACTCTGTCTTTTAAATAAATCAGTGCTCTCCCTTGGGGTGCGCGATACAGACGTTAAAAGTGGGAAGAGAAAGGGGGATGAGTCGCAGAGCTGGAGGGATAGAGACGCTCTCTCATAGAGATATCTCGCGGTGGAGAGAGTGTACCCCCGGCTGTTGACTCGCGAAAGCCGATAAGAAGGAACGGAAGGCAAGCGCGCAAGTTGTACAGCGTGTACACATTGTATCCGTAGATATACACCGCATGTTCCTCCATTCATAGACCCCTCCTCCTCGAGCGAATTTTCTTTCGTTGGCAAGTTGCCGCTTGTCGTATATCCTTCGTACTTTTCATCCCTAGTCTTAGTCGCCACCTGACTTCTTCACTTTTCAATTTTGGCAAAAGTCTTGGCAATAGTCATAAATTGAATTTTCGCACGTAAATGACGTAATCGAGTATATATTACTGAAAAGACTCCGTATTAAATTATATCGCGCGTGTAATTTCGCGGAATCGCGCTCGACGAGAATCAATTGACGCAACAAAAATCGTGGCGGGCGCAATCAGCGCGAAGAAACGATTCGCAACGATTTCGATAATTCGCGGATCCGATATGTAATTCGAGAATTTCAATGATCCGAGGATTCATCGAAGTATAGATTCGAACAATCCAAGGATCGTTGAGCGAGTTTCTTATACTACGCTTATCAATTATGATATGTTATTTTTTCCTTTTTTAACGATTAGCGCTACGAGCGCGAGGATGCATGCCTACCTTTCCATCAAAAAGATATATTCTCATGCATCCTCTTTGTTTAATGTCATTAATATCTTTGGTTTCATTTATCGCTCCAGGTTCAACCCTCCCCCCTTTTTTCGTGCGATTCGAGGATTCCTGCGTCAATTTCTTCGAGGATGTTGTTATATAAAAACACATCATCTATCTCGCAATCTTATCCATCTATCTCGCAATCTTATCCATAAATTTTGCGGTATTAGAGCTCTGATAGATTTCTGAGGAGACATACTCGTAATCTCGATATTTGAAGTTTATTATCCGCCGGTAGTGTAATAAATTATGATAGTGTTTGAACAGAAATTGAATAAGGATAAATTACTCTTGCGAGAGAAGAAAAAGAGCTTATCAACTGTGTGCGATGTGCTTACAGACCGCAATTTTCTGAACCTAACTGATCGTACGTTCAATGCCGATTACCGTAGCAACGAAGGGCAACGAAATAACTGAGGGGGAAAATGGGGTAAACCGATCAATGGGGATACGAGCCGAAAAAAAAAAAATGGAGTTAAAACATTGAAACGAAAATCGAGATATATCCGGGAATCGAGCGGCAACTCTTGCCTGGGGACGATGCGCCAACGTTGACTCTGTCTTTTAAATAAATCAGTGCTCTCCCTTGGGGTGCGCGATACAGACGTTAAAAGTGGGAAGAGAAAGGGGGATGAGTCGCAGAGCTGGAGGGATAGAGACGCTCTCTCATAGAGATATCTCGCGGTGGAGAGAGTGTACCCCCGGCTGTTGACTCGCGAAAGCCGATAAGAAGGAACGGAAGGCAAGCGCGCAAGTTGTACAGCGTGTACACATTGTATCCGTAGATATACACCGCATGTTCCTCCATTCATAGACCCCTCCTCCTCGAGCGAATTTTCTTTCGTTGGCAAGTTGCCGCTTGTCGTATATCCTTCGTACTTTTCATCCCTAGTCTTAGTCGCCACCTGACTTCTTCACTTTTCAATTTTGATAATGTCTTGGCAATAGTCATAAATTGAATTTTCGCACGTAAATGACGTAATCGAGTATATATTACTGAAAAGACTCCGTATTAAATTATATCGCGCGTGTAATTTCGCGGAATCGCGCTCGACGAGAATCAATTGACGCGACAAAAATCGTGGCGGGCGCAATCAGCGCGAAGAAACGATTCGCAACGATTTCGATAATTCGCGGATCCGATATGTAATTCGAGAATTTCAATGATCCGAGGATTCATCGAAGTATAGATTCGAACAATCCAAGGATCGTTGAGCGAGTTTCTTATACTACGCTTATCAATTATGATATGTTATTTTTTCCTTTTTTAACGATTAGCGCTACGAGCGCGAGGATGCATGCCTACCTTTCCATCAAAAAGATATATTCTCATGCATCCTCTTTGTTTAATGTCATTAATATCTTTGGTTTCATTTATCGCTCCAGGTTCAACCCTCCCCCCTTTTTTCGTGCGATTCGAGGATTCCTGCGTCAATTTCTTCGAGGATGTTGTTATATAAAAACACATCATCTATCTCGCAATCTTATCCATCTATCTCGCAATCTTATCCATAAATTTTGCGGTATTAGAGCTCTGATAGATTTCTGAGGAGACATACTCGTAATCTCGATATTTGAAGTTTATTATCCGCCGGTAGTGTAATAAATTATGATAGTGTTTGAACAGAAATTGAATAAGGATAAATTACTCTTGCGAGAGAAGAAAAAGAGCTTATCAACTGTGTGCGATGTGCTTACAGACCGCAATTTTCTGAACCTAACTGATCGTACGTTCAATGCCGATTACCGTAGCAACGAAGGGCAACGAAATAACTGAGGGGGAAAATGGGGTAAACCGATCAATGGGGATACGAGCCGAGGACAAACGAAGATCGAGCGGGTCTCATCGATTATTCAACGAGGTTGTACAAAGATATATATGTACGTAGCATCGGTTCTTCGATATTCGGACGAGAGCTTTTAGCTCGAGGTGTCTATAAAAACCATTCGAGAACACCCGTTTGTATCGAAATTGATTTACTTTTAATGTACGATTGTGTAATACAAACGAAGAATTGTTCTGCAAAACGCTAAAGCAAAAATTTGAATTGTAAAGAGTTCGAGTAATCATTTTACTAGAGTATTTTCAGCGACTCCCTCTCCTTTCCCCTTCCCGTCTCCCCCCCCCTTCCCTTCATTGCTGCCATGTGAAATGCCCAAATGAATGACCTTTGTGCCCGTTTTTTCGTTCCGGAGATCGGATGGGTCGAAAAATTTGTAAAGGTTCCGGAGTTTAAACCGTGTGTGAAAAAGTTTGCGCGAGCGATTAATTAGATTTTCGCGGGATAACAGCCCGTGTTTTCACGCTTTTTCGCTTTTCTCCCCGCTTTCCGTTGTAGCTTCGCGTATACCGCGGCTGTCGGAATGATCCACCATTTTTACTTCCGTCCATAGAAACGCGAAAAAATACGCGTATATGGAGATATTATCCATTATTAACGCAAACAATGTTCGTTCAAACAAATTGCGCAATTATATATCGCATTAATATAAATATCGAAGAATTTTACAAATTGAAAAAAAAAAAAAACACGGATATCCGACGTTGGAGATATTATCCATTATTAACGCAAACAATGTTCGTTCAAACAAATTGCGCAATTATATATCGCATTAATATAAAAATCGAATAATTTTACAAATTGAAAAAAAAAAAAAAAAACACGGATATCCGACGTTTTCCGACATTTTAATAATCCGCTTTTGATCGTTAAAACCGCGAAGCGATAAGCGGTCCTTCCAAGATAAATCACATCGATCCAAAGTCCATTGTATAACTTATCAAAGGCGACCGTGAATGTTGCAATTCAATCTCGCGTTTATCCATTCGACATGCCAATTCCGACAGCGTTTCGCATGCATTATTAAACCGTTATTCCGCGAAACTTCTCAGGGTTGATTACCGCGTTATTATTATCCCGCGAGACCCCAAGTAATCCGTCGCCCACGCAGAGTATCGCATAGTAATACGTTATTAAGAGAGAATCGATTCTGAGTTTTATCGATACTCAATGCGCCATAAAATTTCCTCCTGTCCCTCTGGGGAAGACCTCCCCCCTCCCCACTATTATCTCGGCATATCTGATTTTCTTGATGCGTTGTCCTTTCCTATTTTCTTCGACTCTGTAACTCACGAGTAGGTAGTAGGGTCAGTCACCTCCGCATTACAAATATTCGAATTCGCACGCGTAATTAAATCAGAATCCACGCTCTTATAATCCCGCATAATTCCTTCATTCGCCGACGACTTGCGCGAGATCGTTAGGGCGGCGGGCCTTTCCTTCCTACGAAGCCTCGGCTCCTTCCTCTTCCTCGACTTCGAAGTCGGCGAATGCGGCTGGTATTTTGCATAAAATGCATATTCATCACGCGCGAAAAGAAGCGCTTCCCAAGACCGTCGCGTCAGAGAATTTCATTGTTCGGGCATCGATATTAATATTAAGGAGGAAGAAAATGAAAAATATTAAAAAGAAGGGACGCTACAAAAGTTTCGACGTCCGTTCATTTTTTTTTTCCTCTCGACAAAGACTCAGCGCAAGATGATGCCTTGTCATCTTCAAGACTAAACCTCTTGGACGCGGGATCGTTATTATCCAGCGAGGAAAGCGAGAAAACAGGTCGTACGGGAATAGGTGTCGAGACAGAGAGCCACGACGCTACTCCGGACGGGTCTTTACAAATTTCAGTACTTTCGCGTGGCAAGCTCGCTAGAAAATACATATTCATCCCGGCCGCTCCGTAGAGGGTGTATCCGTAATGGAAACGAAAGGGACAAGAGGGATCCGTCGGATCTGCGTACATTTCGCCGGACGTCCGCGTGAATGGCGAGCAATATTGATCAGTCGAGGCAAAGAGGTTATCCGGGCACAGGCAGCTGTTTTCCGAAAGACCCCAATTCAATTTCTATACTTCCAACGAGAGACGCGTATTACAATTTATGGGTCAACGGATACGCGTAACAAAGCGTATGACACATTCGACATTCGCACAGACGCCCGCCGCGCGTTCTTGCGCGTTTCATATTTCACTCGAAAGATACGGGATCGAGATGACGGGGTATTTACAAAGGTTTTCACACACGTGCCGTGTGTGTAACGTTTGATGTTGAAAATATTTGTTACATCGCGACAAATAGAGAGGAGAGGCCGCGCGAAATCCCGTAGATTGACCGGACATCGACGAATAGAAAAAAAAGGATGGAAAAAAAACACTCGCCGAGAAGAGAAAGGGGGTGTTAACTCTGCTAAAGTCGGGGTGAATGGCCCGAGATCGGGGCCGCGGAGGCCGAGGGAGAATATCGTGATCGCGCGATGCGCGCCGGGGAATGAAACTTTTACCCCATTCCCTCTCACAAAGAAACGAGAGAGAAAGAGAGATATAGGAATAATATTTATCCTGCCTTGCACTGGAGATCATATTTTTCGCAGCGTAATTTCAACGACGCCCGAGACAACAGATGATTCGACGGGAGATTTAACTAAAGTCGCGACAAATTTAATATTCGAACGAAAGCATCTTCGCTCTCTCTCTCTCTCTGACGTCACATAATACTGTCTCCATTCGGACATTATTATAATCGAATGTGCAATAACTAATCGTGCCAATTTTCTCACTCGCGAGAAATCTCGATATTCGCTTCTCATGAAAGATAGAATAAATAAAAAAAATTTCCTCGATAAAATGTAAAAAAACTGATTGTAAAAATATTTTCTCCATCATTTAAATAAGCGTAACCGAGGGTAATAAATGATTAAAATGACCGGTTATGTTTCTTATCGAGAAGTGCCGTGACTTCTTAAATGTAAAAGTTCCTTAATTGGCTGCAGAGGTCGAAAATCGTAACGGGAGATCCGTCCGCTCGTCACGAGGGGGGTGAATATCGAGCGAATATATGTGCGTTTTTACGTGCGTTTAAGCGAGGCTGAAAAAGGCGATCGCGTGTCACGCGTGTAATGTATAAACTCGCTTGGTCATCGAGTCAAGGTAGAATTGAATATTCGTCGTCTACGAGGTTACTGGAAGGTTGTAAGGGGAGACTCTGATGGCGTGACTTTTTCAAATTCGTCCTCGGTCACGCTGCGATCGCTACCTAGTAATTGAAAATTTACTTGCAACAGCAATTGTCCGCTCGTTTCGAGCTCCGTCGATCCAAGATTACTCGAGAATAGAGAGGGAACAAGTATTCAGATATATATGTATTTTTCCTCTTAATCTAATAGCGAAAGATTTATGTTCCGAGCAATCTGTAAGCTGTATCCTGATGAGGTAATTCAAAAAGAGAATTAAAGGATTTTTTAAATTGAAATAAATTATTTATATAAAATTAAAATAAAGGATTTATACTTTTCCTTACCCTCACAAATTAAAATTAAGATATATATATATATATATATGAAAAACTTGAGACGGCGATTAGAAAGTGCGCGACGAAATAAAATTCATCTTTTGAGCAAAGTAAAATTTTTGTCTCCTGTACTTTCAAAATTTTCATGCATCGAAGAAATGGTGAAGACGTGAAGAAAAATTCTTCTAAGTGTTTTTCTTATCGTTAGCGAAATCTAATTAAGAATTATTAAACCGCGTAATAATTATGGAGCCGTGAACCGGTTAACTAATTGAATAAAATTGAAACAAAATAAAACAAAGCGCTTTTGATGTAAATTACAATTCCTCGGGCAAAAATTAGATCGATTCTCTTTGAGCCGCTCGAGGGACCAGAAATTGTCGAGATTGTGTAAAGTTTGGGAACTTTGGGAATCGATGATCGAGCTCTATGTGTAACATCATGGCGCCTAAGGAAATTGCGGGAGACACGATAATTAACGGGGTCGGGATATAAAACGAACGCTTTCAAATAGCTATAAATAAAAACTAGGTTCAGTCATGTCACTCGCAGTGTACTAAAGATAAACATTCTCTCTTTTCTCGTTGAAAGTGATTTAATCGACGCAAACAGAATTTTCCACGCCGGCTTGAACTTACCGTACCTCCTTTGCGAGGATATCAAACGTTAGAAGTTAAGAAGCTCCTTAGAAGCGAAGGAAATTGACGCATTCGGCTTCGAATCGCAAATTACTCTCGAGATCTCCGGCCGCCTGAAACGGAGCCTAAGCGACTGCGTATTTATCGCACGAATTAACGCACGATGCACTTTGCATGCGCATACACGATCCACTTGCGCCGTAAAGCGGATTATTTATATCCGCCGTATCCTTCCGAGAGAAAAATTTGTCGCTTGGAGCAACAAGCTGTCGTTTCTCGCGCTTCTTTTATCTCGCTCGCTGTTTTTCCCCCGCGTTCTCAATGATTGTAGATGCGTTAATTTACATTAATAATCGTCATAGCGATTCTTATCAAGCGATCGTTCGTATATCTGAAAAATCCGAAAGAGAAAGATATAAAAGTTCTTGTAAAATTCACCCGAGAGCGTAAACCGCTACGACGTAATTCGTCACCGCGAGGTTTAACGTGTCTTCATCTTGGAAATCCGCGAACAGACACCGTAAAGGAGGTTTATCTCAATTTCCATCTCGCGAGGCGTTCATCATCCTTCGTCGACGTCAAGCCGAATTATTAATTATCCGCGTAATTATTCACAACTCTTTCGGAGGAGGCAAAAGGCGTCGAGATAAATCGTTGACACATTTCCGTTGTCGCGTCGCTTTTATCGCACATGTAACTTTTCGTTCAATCTCTTTCGGTAAAAGTTATTTATACATATATGTGTGTTTGTAAAACGTTATATGCGCGCGCGTTTACAAGCTCTCTATTGGGATTTGGAAAATAATCGATTATAAAGATTTCTACGGTGAAGCCTCTCGGCGAGAGCCGTTACATTTACCGTTGACGAGTTTATTCGCGGTTGGTCGGATTCCACCCTACTTCTCTTCGTGTTCCCAGAGGAACGCTTGCGCCGATATCCAGTGTCAGAGAACGATGGGGAAGAACGGTTCGCGTTCTTCCGCGAAAGGGAAGAAATAAAGTTGAAGAGACGGCGGAAAAATAAAAGATCGCGCTTTCGTTCGGTTTGCTTTCGATTTTTCTTATTCGCAAAAGAGCGAATTGGCGTAATTATTCCGCTCCCCCCCCCCTACCCTTTCCCTTCCCCAATTCTCTCCTCGCCTTTTCTCTCCCCATATCTATGATAGTGTGGATCGTGCATACGCGAGGCGCAATAAATAAAACGATAGATCTTTTTTGATCGCCGCGAGAGATCCCTCGCGTTACGTAATATCCTTAACGACATAAGCGATATAACAACTTCCAATGTGGATTATAAAAATATTCAATCTTTGTCGTACGAACTAGTTAACCTATTGATATGTAAACTATCGATATGTAAAATTGATATGTAAAGTCACGGACCAATGTGATCCGTATGCCGCGTGGATCCACGAAGGGATTGTAGTTTGTCTCGCGGATCCGCGTTTCTATTTTATTTTGGCCGGCGTTATTGTAACTTCGTGTGTATATGTATGTATGTATGTGTGTTTGCGTGTATGTTTGTGTACATTTATGTGTGCGCGTCCTTTATATACGCGTACGCTTACACTGATAATGCAATAACAAGACGCTGATTTCGCGTGCATCCGTCAATGTCGATGCTCTCTCTCATCGTGGAACGTCAGCCCGTTGACAACTTTTTCTCGAAAACAAAGGACTAGATTAACTATTTTAATAAATAAACTACTTATCCTTGATCGGTGTGTCCCCGAAGAGATCAGGTCAAGTATCGCTGATGTTGTAATCCCGAAGAGTCTTCATCGACGTCAGCTCGGATCTTGTATTCGGCTCGCAGTGGTCAATTCCGCCGCTGATTGGTAACGATGTCTCTTCTTCTTCGGTGACAGGAGGATATTTGATCCTAGTTAAAGGATCGTGCTCGCCGCTGGATACGCGCACGATCCGCGTCGATAACGAACGAGTCGTTCTCTCCACGATGGTTATTCCTCCGGCCAGCCGAGATCCTCGCCGACCAGCTCGTAGAAGCGTTGATTATGCTCATTGAAGAACTTCCTCAGCTTCGTCACAACCATCGGACTGACACGCGGGTGACGGCGCCCTTTGCTCTCCTTCAGACACTTCTCCGAGGTCTCGTTCCTCAGGCAATAAAAGCCCTTGGTGTGATTAAAGTAGAAGTTGTGCCGGCCGATGCGCGATTCGAGCCCGAGGAAATTCTCGATTCGGCGCAGCTGCGGCACCGGGTCCTCGATCAATTGATCACCGTTCACTATGAGGATCTGCTCCCTGGGGAACACCTCCAGCCAGCGGTGCATATAGGTGTGGTAGAGAGAGATGGCGACCGGTCTGTAGGATTCGTTAATGGTACCGTCGGGTCGCATAACGAGCTCCTCGAAAGTGCGCGCCGTTGGCTGCTGCTGTTGCGGCGTGCCGTTGTTGATTAACGTAGACGCGGTCGCGGCGTGCGTGCGTAATTGCGTGTAATCCGATATCGCCCGGGTGACCGGTTCCCGCACGATCAACAGCAGCTTCACGCTGCCGTTCATCGCGCGAATCCTTTCGGGCACCTCCGGGGTGACGAAGTAACTCGGGCTCTTCTCGATAGTGATCTGCCCCTTGAAGGAATAGGGCATCTTGCGCCGGTACCATTCAAGACCCTTCCCATAATTGTCGTCACGGTCGAAGAAGTGAACCTCACCGGCCGCCTTCTGTATCTGCGGATGCAGGAAGAGCATCTCCAGCAATGCCCTTGTCCCGCATTTGCGTACGCCGATTATGATGGCCTGGGGGAGGTGGCGATTCGTCCGCGGAAAATGTACCTTGGAGGTGGAGAAAAGAAGCGGTGGCGTCGCGCGTACCTGCCATAAATCATCGTAGCAGTGGCAGAACCATATACGTGAAGCTCTTCGGAGACATTAACGCGATATGGAATTCTAGTCAGAGAGAGACACGTACCTGGGAGACCAGCTCGACCGTGCGCCCTTCGACGGCGGAGACAGCGTGGATGCTATAAACGGCGCTGTCGTAAAGTATGTGGAAGGTGAGGAAGAGGGATAGCAAGGCGACCGACAGGAAAGCAACAGCCATCTTCGATCTGGATACGCCGACTACCAGGATGCAATCCGAAGCGTCACCCTCGGCCGGCCTCATGGCGGAGCGGGACATCCACCTGCAACAAGCATCAAGAAACGCCATTGTCTCGCCAGATATATTCAAAGTATAATCGACTCGTACCCCGTTCTCCCCTTTCTCCCCTCTTCTCCATGCGCGATTCGAAGAGATATTCTCTCGATCCTCAAAGGGCAATCGTGTTATTCCCTCGTTGTTTTTCCCTCTTTCTTAGCACGCAACAGTGCCGTTAGTTACGGACAGTGTCTCTAATTTATTCTTTCCTCGTCGAGGCGCGGCAGGAATGATTAAACCCCGTGATCGTCGATTATTACAGTGTACCGTGCACAGCGCGGATGTGCACCTACTCTAATCCAACTTGCAGGCCATTACAACTTTAAGTTCAAGCCTGATTTATCGGAATTCCTCTCTCTCGATAAATGTGTACGATGTTGGAAAATTCGTGTTTTCTTGTTAAAAAATAGGCCGGTTAAAATTTTTATGTTAAATATTTAGTACATTCATGTATTTATTTATGACTGTTGTATTAATTGAACTCAAATGTTAAATTATTAAAACAACTGAAAAAAGTATAAAAATAATACAATGTGCACATATTTTTAATTTTACACAATAGACACGTTCTGTATTATTAGTAACAGAATTTATCTGTTAAAAAATTTACAGAAAAAAATATTAATTTTATTCTACGATAGGAGTGAGAGTGACAACAGATAACATTTTTCCAAGTTAATTTTATCATTAAAAATATGTTGATTTTACACAAAATTTATTTCAAATTACTATGAAATTTGCATTCATTTCGCGTTGAAATATTAATATAATATTAGTGTCACCATTTAACATATCCATATTATGTTAAATTAATACAAACATTCGTGAGGACCGTTAGGGACATGCAATATATGTTAAATTTAAGCCAAATTTTCAAACAGTATAAGATTAATTAATTATTTTGCCGCACATCAGGATTTGTTTTTCGCGCAAGGGTTCCGACTGAAGGAGCCGAAACAATTTAGGATCCACCGCAGTGGCTCGTGACTGATAATTACGCGCAGCTGATTGGCATTTACACGAAACGCTACGGTTACTGGTGCAAATTTATCGCGTGACGGACGAACAAAGCGGTTGTCAATGCCGCGCTCGCTAATTTCGTTCACCATTGAATGCGGGTTCAAAAGTATCGATCGGTGTCGGTGGATTTTCCGACGTGGTTTACCGCAAGCCGTACGTTTAAGATTTTCGTGGCTCTCTCTCTCTCTTTCTCCGCGAAGGATAAATCATCAGCCCGCATGCTGTCGCGTAAGCGAAAAATAATGGACCTTCATCAAGGCTCGATTAAACTCTTCAACTATATCACATAGACGATACATTTTAAATTTTAGATATATATTTACACGTATCCTCTCTTTTCGATGTGTTTACTATCGATAATTATTATCGCGCTCGAGATATATATCTAGATGGATAATAAAAGGAGCGAGAATAGGCGTTTTCTCGCACATTCAACTTGCTTCAAATTGCATTTGTCATCTTAACTGAAACGTTTACAGCATTAGCGCAACAGGCATGTAAATTACATGTTCCCGAGCGAATAAAGATCTCGTGGTAAAAGTTATACGCGGAGGATGAAGCACGAAGGAACGAATTGGAATTCACAAGTGACGAAACTAGTCGTAGTCGCGAGCTCTTAAACTCCGAATAGCTAACGAACTTGCGAAACGAGAGGACGTGGAAGGACGAAGAAGGGGGCGGAAGAGC